GTTGCCACGTAGTCTTATCAGCTGGAAGACATTGCTCTGTGGTGCTCTGTGCTATGGAGACAGAGCACAAGGGAGCACTCAAATAGATAGTTCTATATAAGCAGCTAGACTGAGCTCTCTTTGAGAGACTCAGCAAGTAAGCAATACACATTCATCTGCTTCATTACTTGTGAAGGCAATCTACCTTCCCTACGTGACGCACCCACCCAACCCACGGCGTACCGCCTTGCAGTTCAGACACTCTGTGTGTGGATTGTAATAAATTTCTTGATATTGATTTATAAATTAGTATTTGAGAAACGTTTTAAACCCTTCTTAATATATTTAATTACATTCGGTTTAAATTTAAAATATCCTTTCATTATTACTTATTACCAATGCCACTAGTCATATAGTATTTTAAAAGTATAAATACAAAGTTTCTTCTCTTAATTTTTTCCTAAGTTAGTATTTATTTTTAAACTTATCAAACATTATATTTACTTAAATATATTAACTGTAATCTTATCCCGTTGCTAATAGTTGAATATAATTAATTAGTTTCATTAATTATGTAATGAAATCAAGATCAAAATTAAAATTAAGACGATAAATTTAGTTGCTAATCTGCTTATAACACTGAGTTTTAAACTCGTAAATATAATATAGGGGAGTTTTTTTTAAATAGCTTTATAATAATTAAGGTGACGGTTAAAAAATAATGACGGCGAAAAGAAAGTAAATTTATAATAAGAAAATTTGTGTAACTAAGTTTTAGTCTTATCCATTTATTAGATTTCTGTAATTAAAATGAAAGACTGAATTAAATTTAAAGTTTCTTACATTTCTCCGTTATACATCCATTAAAATAAAATATATAATGAGGGGGAGGGGGGAGAGGTGGAAATGGAAGAAAAGAAAATATTCTGAACTTAAAATGTGTAATATGGTTAGCATAATTTTAAAAAATCATATAATTAAAACTGTATTATATGTACAATTATTATATAACATGATTACGCCTTTTGAAAAATATTAGTAATTATATGAATTAGTAAAGATTAATTAATCGATAATGATTAAAATCAATAGTGATTTATTATTATTATTATTAGTATTTTATAAGAAATATACAGCTGTATAGAAACACTATTAGAAAAATGATGAAAGTTTTTTTAAAAAAAACGGTTTTAATTTGGGTCTAAGCGGTATCATTGAATCTGTTTTTAATTAGTTATTTTAAATTAATCTAGTGTAATAAAATTATTTTTATTTAATCAATAACAAAACTTTAAATAACTTAACTTGGTATATTTATATACCAATTCCCGTATTAGTATTTTAAGCATATTCTAAAATTATAATATAATACTTTGTATAAATTAATGAATACGATTCATAGTATTTAGTTAAATAACAGCTTAGTATCTCCGAGATTTAAAAACGAATATACAAATTATCTCTAAACTATCATTAAAGATTAATAATTGTAATGTTTCTAACAATATTTAATGACTATTCTTTATCTAAAATTAGACTAAAATAGTCAAAATTTAAAAATATTATATCAAAATATTCCATTTTACCCTTATAATTCTACTTTATTAATGGATTTATTAAAAAGCAAGCAGTAAAAATAAATAAATAAAATATCCTTTTTGATAAATAAAAAAGTATTTATATTTCTATTTTTTTGGTAAAGCTTTTTTTACTTACTTATTATACTACTTTACTATTATTTTAAAATACCTATATTAAAATATATTTAAGTGAGTAGTCCTTTAATAATACTCATATTATTGCTATTAAAAAGGAAATTAATACTATATGAACTATTACTAAATCATTATAATTTGTAATTTTTATAGTTTTTGAATAATTCTTTAAAATTGAATAAATATTGAGTATATTAATATCCTCAATCTTAAATTATAGGTTTAAAATGCAATATTAGATTTTATCAATACGTTAATATAGTACTAGGATTATTCACTTCTTATTCAACTGAAAATAATAAGTATAGAAACTTAAACTGAAATATTTTAGTTCTCTTAATTAATTATTGATTGTTTAATAATTCAGTATAATTAATGTACCATTTAACATTTACATCTTATAAAGCTATTCAAAAACGGAATCTAAATCTTTCTTAAAAGGTAAAAAAATAAGATACAAAATGTATTAAGATAAAAAATAGAACTATAGGAAAAATGAATACATATCAGCATAATTAAACGGGTTTTTTTTAAATGATGATAATAATGATTTAAGAAAGTATATTTAACCATGAGTTAGACATTTAGCTTTAATGATAATAATGTAAGAAATCAGAATTTTTAAATCTTTTAATCCAATCCACAAACAGGATGTCTGAACTGCAAGGCGGTACGCCAAGGGTTGGGTGGTTGAGTCATGTAGGGAAGGTAAGCTCCTTGAATAAGGTTGGTTGAGAGTATTGATACACACGTGTGGAATGCCTTCACAAGCAATGAAGCATATGAATGTGTATTGCTTACTTGCCGAGCTCCATAAGAGAGGTTCGGCTTGCTCTTCATAGGTCACACCGAGAGGGATATTACACCCTTGTCTCTAGGCCCGAGACATTCTTGATTCCTCCAGGCCTATCCTGATTGGTTCGCTCACTCGAGCCAATCAAACAGCCGTGCCCCTCCCCCCACTTGTGATCTGCCCTGCAGATAAGAATCGTGACAGTTTTTAATTCAAATATTATATTAGTTTCTTAAGGAATTAATTTCAATTTTTATAGTTCATGCTTAAAATAAATATATTCTATCAAAGATATTTATAAATATTAATTGGAGTAGAGTTCATTTTTGTACATTTGTGACAGAAAATTTTAACGTGTTGTTTTAAAATTATTTATATTTAAAACCATTTATAACGACCGTTATTGTTATTAAATATAGATTTATTGAAGTATTAAAACTTATATTTTAATATGTAAAGTATGTTATCAGGTTATATAATCATAATACTATATCATTAATTTTGTAACTAATTAGGACTTCTTTTAATCTAATAAAAAGAGGATTGGAGCTACTAATATGTACTAATGACACTTTTTATAAATAGTTAAACAACCTTTAGATTCAATAGTTATATTACAATTTTTAACTTCATATATTATTCAATAACTATCTCGATTATAGACCTTGGAACGTAACGTTCCTTAACGCAAAATAAGTACACCCTCATATAAAGGAACGGCGCCATTTCATAGGGTCATATTACTGGCAGCCTGCTGATGCTTTATTTTCATAGATCTTATTAAGGATATGATTATAACTATGATATTCAATATTTTATGTCAATAATATTTTTTAAAAAAGGATGAAGAACAATGAGTTCAATAACTGGTTAATACATGTTGAATCATGGAATATTCATAAAATTGCATCACTTGAATACAACGCAGTTATGACTCATTTTTCATTTTTTAACTTGTACCTCTTTTTAATAAACTGAATTTTTATATTATTAAACTTTTTATAAATTATAAAATCATATTATGAATTATTTCCCAAGGTAGATGAAATAATAAGGCCATCTTTTATACTATTAATATACTAAAGATGCTATTTAGTAAGGATCAATGTAATATTATACATTATTAATCTTCTTTAGAAATGAGCAGTAATGTATTTTAAATTCACGGAAGTATAAAGGAGGTTTCCTTTAAAATATATCTATAGCGTTTAAAAGACTAAAGAAAGTATAATATGAGCTATAGAAACTATATTATGGCAAAGGCAAAATCTTTGATGACTTAGTACTATTTTCTTTAGAGATCTTTATTAGAGTATAAGGGAGCTTCTAAACTAACGTTATGAAGTTAATATAGATACGAAATAGATAATGGAAATTCCTTCTAAGAAATTAACAATAATTATTACATTTATAAATTTCCAATTTTAAAAAAGGAATTATAACTTTTTATTTCCAAATTGAAATAAATTGAAAATTTAATAGCAATTATAAATAAATGAGGAAATAAAACTTAAAAATAAAAATAAACTCATAATTATATATTTTTCCTTTTCTTTTTCAGTTATAATAATTGTATTCAAATAAATTGAAATAAAATATTAAAAAAAAGGTAAGCATTGTTCTTAAATATATATACTATATTTAACCATAATGTGAAGCGATATTTAACGAATTACTTAAATACTTAAAAAGGTATTGTAAATTGATTCCGGAACGGCATCGCAGGTCATTACGTGCCCTGGCACGTGTAGATAGCTAGATAGATGGGAGCCCGCCAAGGCTAGGAAGAGGTCCGAGCTCCATGGGGTAGGCTCGCCTACATCAAGCCTTCCCATAGAGTCAGAAGCTCTCCTTCCTTTCTGCTCCACAGACCTAATATTACCTATATTTCATGCATCGTGTCACGATTTCGATCTGCACTAAGGTGGGCCGCCTGAACGGGCCAACCAATCCTATCGCCCCACGTAAACCAGCCAATCAAGACCATTGCAGGCGGTGCTCCGTCTGCTCCGCCTTCTAGGCCCGGAGCACACGGAGCACCTACATTGTATATATACCATAGGCCGAACTCTCCTTATGATAAGCAATACACATTCATCTGCTTCATTGCTTGTGAAGGCAATCCACATCGTGTGTATCAAGACTTCCACCAGCATTGTTCAAGGAGCTTACCTTCCCTACGTGACGCATCCACTCAACCCCCGGCGTACCGCCTTGCAGTTCAGACACTCTGTGTGTGGATTGTAATACATCGCCATAGCGTTCTGTGAAGCAGTTGATAGGTCTCCCCATCAGAAATTCAGAAAAAAGTAGTAATAATACAACTATAGGCAATATAATGTATACTGACTACAATATATTAATAATAATAGCTAGTTTTTTACTTTTATTAGCAATGGTAGGAGTAACAGTAATAACAATTAAATAAAAAAAAGTAACTTAAATAAACTTTTTCTTGGGGTAGTGTAGTAAGAAGTAATAGTTATAATAATCACCCAAAAAGCTAAATTTCAAAGGAATTGGCTCAATGGTAGAGCAACCGTTTGAACACACGGAAGGTTATGAGTTCGAATCTCTCATTTTTCATTAACTATTTTTAAGATTCTTTTACTTAACTGGTAAAGTGCGTTTTTAATAAGAATGATATTCAAGTTCGAGTCTTGAAGGAATCAAGGAGAATTGACCGAGTGGTTTGAGGTGGTCAGGTTGAATCTATCTATGATTTTATATCATCAAGTGTTCGAATCCCTTATTGTCTGTCAATCTAATATCTAACTAAGTAATTCTTTTATATAGTTAGGATGTTATTTATTTTTATTGACTCTTGTTTTATTATTACTGATATGACTATAAGAATTATAAGTTTAAAATTAATTGCTATTATTTTTACTTATAATCATTATTATCATTATGAATATTACGGGTAAGAGTCAGATTGGTTACAACGCTTTATTTTTTCTGTGTTCGAGCCACAGGAACCCGAGTTGATACAATAAGTAATTTAACAGGATTAGGACTTACCTGTAAAGGTAAATTCTTTTATAAATTGCATAGAAATGTAAAATATATTTTAATATCAAACATATATTTTATATACATATATAAGTATATAAAGAGACTATTATGGAGATCTGCGCTATGCATTATTAAAGGAATTCAATTTATGTATATTGCGTTGAAAAAAACGAGCCACTCATATTTTTAATATGAGTTAAAACATACGAATTCCTAGAGAAATTATTTAATAAACGACGAAGTGAATTTAAATAAGTAAAATGGCTTTAAAGCTGGTTGAATATTATGGGGAACCTTCCTCAAAAGCTAAATATAATACATAAGCTACAGAGAAAAGTACCGTGAGGGAAAGCATTTTTGAAAATAGTAGTTTTACAAGCAGTCAAGCAAATAAAAAGCAAGAGCGTACCTTTTGCATAATGGGTCGCCAAGTTAACATTAGATGCGAGCAAATTAAATTTAAACCCAAAATTAAGTAAATAAATTTATTTTATTAGAATTTACTTCTCTTTAAGAAAACTTCGTCGAAAAACCATAAGAATAATTTATTTTAAGCCGGAATAAAAATATAAATATATATGCGTAGTTAAACCGACCATTAGAATAATGAACATTGTCTAAAGTTAGACCCAAAGCCTGGTGATCCTACTATAATCAGGGCTATAAAGGCTCGAACGGGTTATCGTTGCAAAGATATCCGAAAACTATGGTAAGCGAGTGAGTGAAAGACAAAACTGACTAGGATAGCTGATTTTCTACGAAACCTATATTAGTAGGGAATTTAAGTAACATCTTAGTAGGTACAGAACTCAATCTCTGACAAGATGTATATTTTCATATTTTCATATAAGAAATACATTTTATTTTGTATACATCGGGGAATCGTGAAGATTTTATCGGTGAGTATGTAGACTCGGAATGACAAAGATGAATCTTGAATTATCAGACATAAAATGATAAGGTTGTATGTCAAATGGGAAACAGCCTAGAACAAGAGTTAAGGTTTCAAAAAAGTTTTTATATAAGTCGACAGGAAGATAGGCTTGGAAGGAGCCATAATTTGAAGATCTCATAACAGAGTCACTTGTTAAATCTTAAGAGCATCGAAAATTTAACGGATCTAAATAATATACCGAAACGTTGAGTGAATATTTGACTTATCTTTATTAAAGATAATTATAGGACAACTCAAGTGATAATAGTGACATGAGTAACCAAATATAAGATCTTAATGCTGTTAAACGTTCCTGAAGCGGTAACGTGAAGGGTAGGGAACGTGTGTACTTTTTTTCTAAAGGGATGTTGAGAAGTAGGCTTAAGCGTAATCAAGCACAACTATAGATTAAGGGATTAAAGAAGCTAGTACCCATTAAGTATTCCTCACCTAAAGCTTTTGTTAGGAGACAAGTAACAGCCTCTAAGTTAATAATCTTAAGACTATGACGATGAGAAAATCTTATTGCTCTAAAGGACAATATTTTTAAGGGAAAAATGTGCTGGAAAATATTTATTATGAAACAAAAAACTACATAGATGAGAATTATAAATAATGAACAACACCGTACCTAGAAACTGCAACAAGTAGGCTAGTAGAGAATACGAAGGCATAAATGAGATAACAATCATAAAGGAACTTAGGGATAAGGAGGGCTCATTAATCTCGATTAATACGAGTAAAAAAGGAGAAGCATAAATTAAAACAAAGCACTTTGCAAGAAGACGATAAATCCAAGTATTGAGTGTGATTTCTGCCCTATGCCGGCTATTTAACGAATTAACTAAATTATTAAAAGTTTAGTTTTAGAGACAGCTGTTGTATCGTTAAATCATTCATGCAAGACCGCATTTAACGGCCAAGTCGTTTCGCTACCTTAGGACCCTCACGCTAAGGCCGCCATTAACTGGGGGTTCCTCTATGATTGACTCAGTGAAATTGGAATAACTGCGCAGATACAGTTAGACGAGAAGACCTGCTCAACCAATTGAGCTTCTCGGGCTATACATAAGCCCGGTGCAAGAGTCGCGCTGACTTAAACTGCTTACAAAACAATTGCATTACTGTTATGCTAACTAGGCTAAAGCTATGATGTATGGTATATATATATATTAATTAGCCTTTTGTGAAATCAGAACTTAATTCCTTAAAATCTCTAGATTACTACAAATTATATAGATCGCTTGCTGAACCCACGGTTCAATTGCAAAGACTCAACTGTCTACTTTAGTTGATAGCTGAAGAACCACAAAGGCTCTTCAGCCTGCCTGCTTATATAGAGCCATGGTGGCTCTGTTGGCTCTGTCTTCCCTGACACAGGGCCCGCAGAGCCACTCCCCTGATTGGCCCAAAAGATGGCTCCGTGGGCTCTGTCCTCAACGGCAGAGCCACCAGAGCATGTGGTCCGTGCCCCGTGACATGCCACGGGAATCAGGATCGTGAGAAATCTTCTTGCTAGAGATCCCCCCCCCCCTTTTGTAGATAATTAAATAACATTTAGACTTAGTAACTAAGTCATGCATTCCTCGGCTTCTTGCATTTTTAAATAAACTTAAATTCTTTAATTAAGGTTTTTCATTTTCAACCTTGTATTTAATCATGAATAATAAGCGATATTTAATATTTGAATAATTCCGCATTATTTGTATAGTTACTTTTAAAGTTTTTAAATGCAAAGAAAATCTTTATTGTTCATAATTAATATTAATTATATATGGTGTTTTAGTAAATAAGGTAAAAAGCGAATTATATAAATTTCCCATTTTTAAAATAGTATCAATCCAACAGCGATAATATATATAAATAGTCCTTAATAATTCAAAAGTAGCCGTTTTGAGTTGAAAAGGGGGGTTGATCATTAAACGTATTATATTTATTAGTAGTGTTTATTAGGGGCTAATAACAGTTCAAGGAGATTTTTGAGTTTTGACCATTTTTGGTTCTTTTATAAATAATATAATAATAAATAAAATATTTAACCTTTTTAGACATAAATGGCAAATAAAATTCTTTAATTATTTCTATTGAAGTATTTTCATTTTTTAGATCACTTATTATTAAAGTAATGTATATTAGGTACATAGGTTTTATACGGAATATTTTCAATAATTGTAACGATATCGAAAGTTTAATTTTGTTCGCTTTTAATATTGCGGGTACGTTAAATATTTAAACTTCATTATAATATTTTAACTGGTTATCAATTAAATATCTGGCTATATTAATTTTAAGGGCATAGAAACCGCTGTTAATGTTAGTATCTTATTTTAAGGAATTAATTACTAAATATAAAAAGCATGAAATTCAAAGGTAGATTTTTGTGTCTTAAAACCTTGGGTAATTAGTAAATATTTTCATTCTTGAAAGTGGTATTTTTACTTCCTTTCTTAAAGGATCATGTTCAAAACAACAGTTTTATGGCTGAGGTTGTATTAAAGTTAAAGGTTAAATTTAAAGATATCTTTTATTTATATCAATACATTATAGGAATACATAGAGCTACAAGAGTTTATTAAGATAACGAGGCTTTTATAATCATAAATTAAACTAATTATTACTCAAAATACTGAATGATAGTAAATATTGCCTTATTATAAGTTAGATAATGTTACTCTATAGGCAAAAGTCTTTAAAAATAGAGGATTACTATAGTTCTTTATCATGATTTTAATGAAGTATACCTTTAAATATGAGCTTATTATAATTCATTTTCATATAGAAGTTTTGAAATTCTGTTCGGTAAAAATTAGCGATTAGGTAAAAAGGGTTTTAATAAGTTTGAAAGTAAAAACCTCCCTCTCTATATAAATATGAATTTTTTCCCTCATCGGTACGGATAAGTAGGCTATTACAATCCACACACGGAGTGTCTGAACTGCGACGCGGGACGCCTAGAGTTGTTGGGTTAGGATCACGTAAGAAGGGTAAGCTCTTGAACAAGGGGAATTGTCTGGTACACAAAGGTGAATTGCCTTCACAAGTAATGAAGCAGATGAATGTATATTGCTTACTTGCCGAGTCTCATAAGGAGAGCTCAGCCTATTGTATATATAGACCATAAGTGTTCCGTGTGCTCCGTGTTTGAAAGACGGAGCAGACGGAGCACTGCCTGCAATGGTCTGATTGGCTAGTTTGCGCGGAACAATAGGATTGGTTGGCCCGTTCCGGCGGCCCACCTTGGTGCAGATAGAAATCGTGATATAGGCAAAGATTTTGAAATTATGGGATAAATATATAATAGTAATTAATAAAATTTAAAAACCTTTGGGCCTTTTTCAGAATTGTAGGTATATCTTATTTAATAATAGCGCGTACCCTGTTTTATATACTAATATAAATTATAGCAATAAAGTGAAAGTACTCAGCCTTTTTTATAGGGAATTTGAATTTATTAATTTTTAAATATAAAGTAATTTTTAAAAACTTGTTAAAGATAAACTATATTCTATTAAAATAAACCCCGTTTATTCCACTTATATACATAAAACCTTTATATATATTAGTGAGAAAAAATTAATTCAAATAACCTTTCAATACTTACTAGTATGATATTCAGAACTAATAAATATATTACAAT